TGATATCTCAAACAATTTCGGTGGGTATTGTATCTAAACTCGTCAAAATACCGAATATAGGGAGGTACTGATATATGGGGCCTATACGAAGACCTGGACCTGCATAGACATTTTTCTGTCTTAGACTTTAGTTCCCATTACGAACTCAAAATACGTAATTTGAAACAATTCCGGTGAATAATGGCGCTAAAATCATCAAAATACCGAATTTTGGGAGGTACTGTAATATGGGGGATATACGAAGACCTGGACCTGCATAGACATTTTTCTGTTACAGACTGTAGTTCCCTTTACGAACTCTAAATACGTAATTTGAAACAATTTCGGTGAATAATGGCGCTAAAATCATCAAAATACCGAATTTTGGGAGGTACCGTTATATGGGGGCTATACGCAGACGTGGACCTGCACAGAAAATTTTCTGTCATAGGCTGTAGAATCCATTACGAATCTCAAATACCAAATTTGAAACAATTCCGATGAATAATGTCGCTAATGTCATCAAAATACCGAATCTAGGGAGGTACCGTTACATGGGGGCTATATGAAGACGTGGACCTGCCAGATAATTTTCTGTCATAGGCTGTAGTATTCATTTCGAACTTCAAATACCAAAGTTGAAACAATTTCGGTGAATAATGGCGCTAAAATTATCAAAATACCGAGTTTTGGGAGGTACCGTTATATGGGGGCTATATGAAAACGTGGACCTTACTTGGACTTAACGTGCCTACTGGAAAAATAAACACGTGTGCAAAATTTTAGTTTTCTATCTCAACTCGTTCGAAAGATAGCGTGATTACAACAGACAGACGGACATGGCTAAATCGACTTAGAATTTTATGCTGATCAAGAATATATATACGTTATTGGGTCTGACATGAGTATTTCGAGGAGTTACAAACGGAATGACAAAGTTAATATACCCTCCTTAGTATGGTGGAGGGTATAAAAACAAAATATTTTCAAAATCAATGATTGGAAGAAACTTAAATTGCGGGGCGCGCACTAATGATATTAACCAGATTTACCACGGAATTGAAAGATTGAACACTTAGGATAATATTTTTGAGAGAACATCCAGGCATTTCAATCATCTTTCGAGCTATTTGACTCATTTTAAACATGAACAAAAACATCAAATGAAAACAACTTGTTGGATATAATTTTGAATTATTTCAAAAAATATGGAAATTACAACTAGTGTATCGACCAAATTTACCCTTTTTGTGACAAATATAAAATACTACACAAATAAAAAACGGGATATGTTTGGTCGGGCCGAACCTTTATACCCTCCACAAATTTGGAATTTAAAACTCGCAAAAGATAACAAGCACAATTGCGGAAACACGTTTAAAAATTATCGGACAAAAATTTATAATTTTGGGATAAAACCCTGGTAAAATTAAGAAGGTAAAGTTATTTCAAATAAGCATACCCATCGCTGCATTTTCTGTAAATTATCTTGTCAAATTTCACTGCATAAAAATATGTTCTCACCTCTGATTTGTGTATTTACAATGGATTTATAAATATATATTTTGACAATGAGTCGTTGTCAAATGAAAAAATTGTAACCATACAATTACATGACTTTACCTTCTTGATTCTAGTAAGGGATAAAACATGGTAGAATTAAGAAGATAAAGTCATTTCAAATAAGCATCAACACACGCTACAAACTGGTTGTACAATCTGGATAGGTTGTATTCAAGATTGTATCGTTTGTGGCCCGGTTGTACGAAGTTGTTTCTCGGTTGTACAAAAAATCAAAATTTTTTGATATTTGGCATGTTGTACCAACCGATTGTAATGTTTGTGGGCATGCCGCATACAATTTAATTTTGTGTTTATTTTTGAAGAGGCAACACCATTGTTTCGCACATCAAAACAATACGAAATCCAATCAAATGTGTGATTCTAATTTATATATAAAAAGGAATTTCAATTTATAAAATGGCATTTCAAAAATTAATTATAAATAAAAGCAATTGTGTCAATTATAGAGAATGAATTATTTTCGGTGTCATCTTAACTCAAATAAACTCTACGAAAAGTGAAGTTGTACACTAAAGTTGTGTTCCATTACTTTTTAGTAGTAAAACTAGCAGAAGAGAGAACAGTTCGAAATGTCATTCTCATTTAGCTGTGCTCAAAAAATAAGGGAACGGAAAATTAGCAGAAATGCAATAAAATGGCAAAATCCAAAATTCCAAAAGTAAACAGTCTAAACCGGACTGGTGAAACCTTACTGAAATGGACGCCAAAATTTAAAAAAAAATAGTATTGAAGACGATAAGTTAAAATTAATAATCTATAATAATAATTAATAATCTGATTCCTCATTCAGCCAGTCCTCTTCACTGCTGCAATCATCCAAAAGTGAATACATCAGTTGCTCCATATTTTCTCTTTTTGTTTTTTGCACTACAAATATTAGTTTTTAAGTTGATGTTTTCATTATTTTTATTGTGACGCGCGAACATTGAAATGTATCAATACATTTTCCAACCTTGTTAGCCCTGCCAATTGAATGTCAAATTTACAATATGCACATTTCTGCTCGGTCAAATTCATGTAGCTAAAACAAGCAGAAATGTGCACCGCTCAGCGCCATTTTTTCTCGAGAGAGCTGCAAGCAAGGTAGATGTACTAGGTAATCGCATCAGCCCAGCTGACGGCACCATTAAATGTCAAAACGAATTGTTGTAATGAAGAATTCGCCCTAAATGAATGCAACAACAAATTTGTTTATGTTGTCTTCCCTAAAAGTACCTTTTTATAATATTTCAAATAATTTAAGAGTAAGTTAAGAGTGAAACCAGTAAAAAATTTAAAGAACATGAAGGAAGGAGGTTAGAATGGAGTGCAGCTTTAAGAATTAAGTTAGCCTCAACATCTAAGATTCCCAAAGCACATCACGGGAAGTAGTGCAAGAATTAGACTCTTGTCATTTGCAGTTCCGGAAAACTTTCGGTTTAAACCAGTAAAATATAGTCATTATAAGTTTCTTTGTTTAAAAAATATCGCAATACTACAATTAATACTTATTTTACTCTTATTTGTTTTACAATAAAAACTTTTATTGCGACGTTCGTTTACGACGAGAGGGACAGAAAATAAAATGTAAACAAACACCTCGTTTCTGATTGGTTGAAACAAATTTGCCGCAACTTTTAAATGTCATGGCGAATCTATGTTTTTCGCCTTAGATGCCAATTTTGACATTTGAGGGGACCACAAAAGTTGCTTTGTTGTAGCAATTCGCCGATGCGGTTACCTGTTAGATCTACCTTGGCTGCAAGTTTTGCTAGTTTTTGGAGTACGGGAACGCGTTGTAGCAGAATCAGTACTAATTTATAGGCTCTGGAACACAACTTAAGTTGTATCGTTTTTGACCAAAACACAAAATTTGAGTACTCTCCAAGTTGTACAACCAGTTGTATCGTGTGGGGCTTGCATAAGGGAGCTATCGAAAGGTTCGTGAAGATCGCCCATAATTGCAAACTGTAGGATCATGTTGAATAAAAATTATTTAAATTTGTAAAAATTGTTGAAAAACGCGAATTATAGTAGCCTCCGAATGACGTAGTATAAAAAAACATATAAAAATCCACTTGTATTTGAAAAAACATTTAAATTTTTTTGACATATCAATGCTCCCAAGCATTGATGCATCTACCTGTATTCTTCTGCCATGGTCATTACAAATTAACATGATTAGACGGGTTGGCGGACACATGAATCAACTAGATCACCGAGGCGATCTATCCCTATATCTTAGATTCAATTTTGTGGAGAGAAACCTATTATTCAATTAATAAATTGTTGTATGTTTACAAGACTATTTGACACAAGAAGGCTTTATTTTATTTTTGTATATATTGTTTTTTTGGGAGGAATTTGTAAATTAAGAAAAATAAAAATAATAATAGTGATAATAATAATAATATAGGAACAAAATTCAGGGTGAGATAAGAAACTACAACAAAGTCAAACGCCAGAATTTTTTAATTTAATTTTACCCCGAGCTCATTTTTCAATATTTGCCGAATGGAATATTGCGATATGTTCAGCTCACGAGCCATTTTTCGGCCACTGCGAAGCGGGTTTCGATCAAGTCGCTTCTTCACTTTTCGAACCATTTCTGCTGATGTTGCTGTTTTCTTCCGTCCACTTCCTTGACGTCGGGCTACGCTACCAGTATCACGGTAACGAGCGATGGTGCGAGACACAAAAGATTTATTCACGTTTAAATTCTGGAGTGCTCTAACGATAGCCACTTGTGGGTTTCCAGCCAATTATAAAGAAATCACACTATCACGCTTGAATTCCATTACAAAAAAGTTTTTTTTCTGAAAAATTCTTACCAAAATGCTTTTGTACGCTTGTTAGCAATATATTGAACTGTCACTGGAATAATTTTAACAGCCGTCGTGACGAGTGGCTTAGAAATGACAGCAGTCTGAAGTTGGTTACTGTATAGGGTTACCGTTATATTCCGATCCGATTCTATACGAAGATGTGGATATGCAGGGCAATTTTTGTCATAGGCCATTACAATATTGAAATACGAAACTTGAAAGAATTCTGGTGAAAAATGTCGCAAAAATACCGAATATAGGGAAGTACCGTTATATGGGGGCTATACGAGAACGTGGACCTGCATATGCAATCTCCTGTCATAGGCTGTAGCATCCATTACGAACTACAAATACGAATGTTGAAACAATTCCGGTGAATAATGTCGCTTAAATCATCAAAATACTGAGTATAGGGAGGTACATTTATATGGGGGCAATACCAAAATGTGGACCTATTTTCAATACCAAAAGTCCTGCAGACCAAACACATGTCAGTAAAATTTCAACCTACTTCGTTCGGAAGCCAGAGTGATTTCCACAAACGAACAAAACAGACAAACTGACGGACATCGTTAAACCGACATAGAATTTTATGCTGATCAATAATATACATATACATACTTTGTGGGGTCTAAAATTTATTTGACTGATATGTTTTTACTTATTATTCAAGAAAATCATAGCAAACCTCTTCAAAGAGAAATAAGCGAAAAAAAAAAAACAAGAGAAACCCCCTCGGATAAATCACACAGAATTCGGAAATACGTCGGCTAAACGTGCCTGACAAAACTTCAGAGTTTGAGCACACTTGTCGGAGCACCGACATTTGATTCGCTGTGTAGATAAAAATTAATAGATCACATATGGATTTGGAGATATTTAAACTTATTGCTTTTTATTAACAATTCACGATGTAAAATCGATTTAAACTAAATTATATTGTTTTAAATTAAACTTATCGTCTAAACTATCCCTAAACTAAACGCATCATTGTTTTCTCGGTGATGAGTATTGCCTTATTTCTTGTTGGGCGTCAAGGAGAAACCGAGAGGTTGTTGAAACGGCACGTGGTGGTATTGAAGGAAGTGGAAGGGCAGGGCGATTTGTTGAATCCGCGTTACCATTTGTAGCGAATTGGTCGACGCCTGTGTTTGCATATCCGACGCTGGCGACTGGTTAGCCGTTTCAGCGGTCTCCTCAACGTTGATGTGAAATTTGGGATTTGTCTTTGGCGGTATGGATACTTCAATGTTTTGGCTCTCTTGGGTCGCGGGCTCCTGGGAACGTAGCTGACCCTGGATTTGTTGATGTTGTTGTTGAAATTGAGTTTGTTGCTGCTGTTGGTATTGACTTTGTTGCTGTTGATGATATTGAGCTTGTTGCTGTTGTTGGAATTGAGCTTGTTGCTGTTGCTGGAATTGAGCTTGTTGCTGTTGTTGATGCTGCTGTTGGCGTATTAGCTCGCCACGAATCGCTTGAGCCTGTCTGGTTTGCTGCTGGGTTTCCTGAGTTTCTTCACTTTGCAGTTTGCTTAATCTCGGCTTATGGTTTGAGGGAAACACAGACAGGTCGTGCGAGTGTTGACTGTATGACTCAATTTCTTGACTATGCTGTTCCAGACCCTTGTGTTCGTGATCAATAAAATCGTCGTCATTGTTCTTGGTGTGGTCCGAGTGCTGGGAACGCTCAAACTTGTAGGGCTCCTTTGAGTGTATGTACACTGGAACCTTTTTCTCGACCTCAACTCTATACGGAGCCGGCACGTATTTTTCCACCTCATATGGAACTGGTTTCTCAACATGTATTGGAACTTTTACTTCGACTGGGTAAGGAACGGGTTTGACAACGGCATAGGGCTTGGGCACAGCTACCAGCTTATTGACGATTTTCTCAACGGCATACGGTTTGGGAACGTGTACGATTTTCTCCACCACCTTCTCGACGGGCACGTGGACAACTTTTTCCACCGGATATGGGACCTTCTTCTCCACGATCTTTTCGACGGGTACGTGAACAATCTTCTCCACAATTCGCTCCACCGGATACGGTTTTGGGATGTGGATTATTTTTTCCACAATTTTTTCTACAGGCACGTGGACAATTTTTTCCACGATTTTTTCTACCGGATATGGAACCTTTTTCTCTACAATTTTCTCCACGGCATATGGCTTAGGGACATGAACCAGTTTCTCAACCGGCACTTTAATGATTTTTTCCACCGGATACGGCTTGGGGACATGCACGACTTTTTCAACTAACTTCTCGACGGGTACGTGGACGATTTTCTCCACGGGGTATGGTTCGGGAATTTTCTTTATAATCTCCTTGATGTGATTGTGATGGTGGTGGTGATGATGGTGTTTAACTTTAATTTTTTTGTGCTTCTCGTGTTTTTCCTCCTCAGAGTGGAAATGTTGAGTTTCTTGAGTTATTGGATCGGAAAATTGTTGTTCCGCTTGAATTTCTAATTGTTCGGTAGCCTCTGGCGTTTGAGTATCAGCTTGGGGACCGGCAAGTTGTTCTTCGTCCTTTTCGATAATGTGCTCGTGCGTCTCTTCGTATGTATGGAAGACCTTGACCTCATCTGGTTGAGTATTTTGCTGAGCTGGCTGGGAATTATGGATGGGCTTCTTGTGTCTTGGCTGAACCTTTAGCAGGATGTGTTTCTTGCGGCGATTGATGGGCTTCAGTATGGCTGTGTGTCCATGTTTGTGTGAGCCCCTTTTGCCGGGCTCTATATTGCTGTTCGGGTCGGGATGAATCTTAAACTCGACTTTACCCGATTCTTGTGCATGCAGATCGGGACTGGTCGATTCCGACTGTTGTTCCTCATAGTTGTGGTGATGTATTGAGTATTCGTTTTCCTCGGTATCATCCGCCCTTCCTGTCCTGGCAAAAGTAATACTTCCAAATAACAGTACAACCAGCAGCACCGGAATGCCCAATTGCTGTAAGAAGAACAAGTTTTACCAATTACACAATGCTATCAATTGTATCTCCTGAATGCTGAAAGATTGTATGGCTATGTCAACAAAAGTACTCTTCTGTGACTAATAATTTACAATTATTCGGGTTCCTCAGCCGAGAGACTGCATAATATTCCAAAAAAGACGTGTCTTTTATTTTCATCCCAGAGATGTCTCTGCTCAAGAATAGAAAGACCAACACTTACGTTGGAAATACAGCGACGAAACAATAGGAAACGGTGCAAACTTACACCACATCGAGGAGATAAATAAGAAATTGGAATATAATGGGACTCTTATCTCACATTTTATAAAATATATGATTATTCAAAATGTTGACATTTTGTGGGGGAGGTCCGGAAGAAGTGGACCGATTCCGCCCATCTGCACACTAGATCTTGTGTTGTTAGAAATATACGAATGTGACAACTTTGAAAAGATTCGGATATTCATTTCGCCTTTACGAGGGCATGGTGCTGTCAGTTTTTCATTCCAGATCTTGTGTTAGTAGAGGTATTGGAATGTACGAATGGTAGTACTATTTTACTACTCTGTTCTCATTTCTACCACTTTCGTTACGGGTTCTGGGCAAACGATTAGATCTGCTCGGCTTTTACATTGCTTCTATTCTTGTTATTATGGATCGAATCAACCTAAAAGACATAATTTTTTATACACTCCACCATACTATGGAGGGTATATTAACTTTGTCATTCCGTTTGTAACTCCTCGAAATACTCATGTCAGACCCAACAAAGTATATATATTCTTGATCAGCGAAAAATTCTAAGTCGATTTAGTCAGTTTCGAACGATTTGAGATAGAAGGCTACAATTTTGCACACGTGTTTATTTTTCCAGTAGGCAGGTTAGGTTCGTAACTGGGCCATGTAGGTCCACGTTTTCATATAGCCCCCATATAACGGTACCTCCCGATATTCGGTATTTTAATGATTTTAGCGACATTATTTCAACTTTGGTATTTAAAGTTCGAAATGGATACTACAGCCTATGACAGAAAATTATCTGTGCAAGTTTACGTCTTCGTATAGCCCCCAATAACAGTACCTCCCAATATTCGGTATTTTGATGATTGTTCAAAGACATAGAAGTATAAATATGGGACAAGACAGAGTCAAAATATTGTCACATGGTGTAAATACCTCTGTTGTTACGATATCATAACAACATAATCACCAATGTTAAGTTGTTTTAACAGCAAATGCAATATTCAAACGTCAGTGAAATGCAATTTTTAATTCAAATTTTTGGTTTACAGAAAATTTTATTCTTAAAATTGCTCTATAAATATAATTTTTATGCTAACTTGTCACTATTGTGAGCATATATATCTATATATTTTTCACATTAACTATTTTTCCATTATGCATTTTGTCCAGTCTTTAAGCATGTCCAGGTCTTCGTATAGGCCCCATATATCAGTATCTCCCTTAATTCGGTATTTTGACGAGTTTAGGTACAATACCCACGGAAATTGTTTGAGATGTCGTATTTGACGTTCGTAATGGATGCTATAGCCTGTGACAGAAAATTGTCTATTCTGGTCCAGGTCTTCGCACAGCTCCAATATAAAATTTTTTAAGGATTCTATTTTTTGAAAATTTCCAAATTCGTTCCAAATGGTGGAGGGTATTCAAAGTTCGATCCTGCCGAACTTACTGCTTTTTAACTTGTTCCATATTAAAAATAACATAATGAAATAAGTACCGACATATAATCGACGTTATCTAACAACCCTTAAAAATTTATTTTTTTTATTCAACAGACCTCGCAATTGATTAAAGCATTTGAAAATTTGCCTCGTAAGTGCTGGGATCTAAAAGAGGATATCTGTTACTGACTTAGTATATGTAATTCTGTGGAAATCACTCCAACCTTCGAACGAATTGAAGTAGGTTGATAAGATTTTACTCAGATGTGTGTTTGGTCTGCAGGACTTTTGGTATTGAAAATGGGCTATATAGGTCAACGTTAAGATATAGCTTCCCTATGACTCTACCTCCCAATATTCGATATTTTTATGATTTTAGCGACATTGTTGACCGGAATTGTTTCAAATTTTGTAATGGGTCCTACAGCTTGGGACAGAAAATTGGCTATGCAGGCCCAGATCTTCGTGTAGCACCCTTATAACGGTACCTCCCCATATTCGGTATTTTGATTATTTTTATTCACCGGAAGTGTTTCAAATTTCGTATTTGAAGTTGCTAATGGGTACTACAACCAGTGACAGAAAACTGACTATGCAGGTCCATTTATTCGTATAGCCCCCATATAACGGTACCTCCTTATATTCGCTATTTTGTATGTTTGTGCGACATTATGCAACGGAAGTTTCGTATTTGAATATTGTAATGGCCTATAAAAAATTGCTTTTGCACATCCACATTTTCATATAGACCCCAATATAACGGTTACTCCCTACATTCTGTATTCTTAAGATTAAGTTAACGGATTATTTTTATTTCCGGCCGAACTTACTGCTTTTTTACTTGTTTTGTTTCAGATTTGTACATGAACAAACCGACAACACTTTGGATAAGTAAAAAAATGTTTTTTTCTAAAATAATTTTTAAAAAATGTTAAGAAAATTAATAGAAGGTGTCACGATGTTAAGTTAATACCAAAAATTACGGCTCCGAATGACGACATTTGACAGCTTCCGTTATGTTTTTGTGCATTCAACAAGATGAATTTTACTGGAACTGTATTATTGTGGAGAAACGAATACAATGGCTAAGATGGATGTGACGAAATAGGCCATTTCATTTCAAGACAGGGGTTTCTAATTGAAGCTTCTATGCTTTATAGTACAGTCACAAATTCGTATTCGAAAGCATCACTATTCAAGTCTACATTTTTGCCAACATTCAGAACGTATTTTCCCACCTACATCGACCAAAGCATGCGATAACATGCAAATTTTCGAGTTTCAAAAAAAAAAAACTTTGATTTTCCTAATGTCACGACTTTTTTAAAGGGTTCTCAAAAATGTTATTTCATAGAAACCTTCTCACTGCAATTAGAGACAACTGAAGGAAATTTCAAGTCAAATCGGGCCAGCCGCTCTCATTTGCAGAGCTACTATACATTTTTTACACTATTTATAAGCATATAATTACTCATTCAGACCTCAGTTTTCATTTTCGTCCCTAAGATACCGATAAATTTCGTTAATTGCCGAAATTTAAATTGAATTTGGTGTAATCGATCAACGTCGTAACTAAATCTAGCCATCAGAATTACGAATCCATAGTAACATGATTCCAAAATTCTTATTTTTGTTTCCATGTTTTGAACCAAATGACCGAAAATATGAATAAAAATTAATAGAAAACAAGTAAAAAAGCTTTAAGTTCGGCCGGGCCGAACTTTAAATATCCTCCACCATTTGGAACGAATTTGGCAATTCTCAAAAACAATAAAACAATAAAAATTACAATATTCAAATAATGTAGCTAAAATCATCAAAATAACTGTTTGGGTTATTGAAAATTCCATGTGGACTTACAGCCTTTCGTTTGGAATTTTTGCGAAAGAAAATATATTTTGGGTTTTTGTAGTGCATGTTTTTTCCGTGAATGACAAACACAATAAAGCTTTTCCCCCTTGGTTTTTTGGTTTTTGTAACGAAAAAATACAAACGAATATGTCAGAAAAAAAAAAACGATAGGAGGAGACCCATACTTTTAAACAGAAATTGGCAGAATCTCGCCAAAATTGTATGTGTAGGACCATATTCTTTAAATGTTTTTTTGAGATTTTTCAATTTTATTTTACAAATTTGTCATAAATTTTGAATTTATTCGGGTTGCCACCATTAGCACAACTCCTAATAAAATCAACAAAATAATGGTCATGGAAACCCTCATATATCAAAGATTTTCGGAAATGGACGAGAGTTTTTAAAATTTTTATAAAAACCCATATTAAAACGAATAAGTTTGAATACGAACAATTCGAGTGAAAGTAACTTTTTTTACAAAAACAGGCTGTTAGTAGAACTCGTTTGTAGAAAAATAGTCCCGAAGGAGCTTCGGGTTTTAAGACCAAACTTTGTTGGGGCCTTTATAAGAAGTTTTGACCATATTTAAATGAAAATCCTATAGCTTGGGATATATTTCGCAACAAGATAGATATTTAAAATTTGTAAGAGATTTTTGGTTTACAGCCAGAATCATTGGTACAGAAAATGGAATACATCGGTGCACTTCTTTTTTGCTGATTCAACATAAATCAGATATGCTCTTTTACTAATATACGAATAAGCTGTTACAAATCCAACAAAATTTTAATATGGTAATCAGCTCAATAAATACTATCTAATAGGTGATGATAATTTCTTCTTTTCCCATAAATTTGATAGAAAGGTCCAGATGCTTTTAAATATGATCCGGGTATTTTTTAAGCTAGATAGAACTTTTAATTGTAAAAAGTAACACAAAAAATTAAATTTTGATGAAACTTTTTTCTTTGTTTCAGTATACTCTGACAAATCATCATGAATAGACTAACGCTTGAACATCGCTACGAAATTATCCAAATTTACTTTGAAAATCTAGCTCTAGAGCAGTTGGCAAATGACCCGTTGTTTTATGGCAAAATTGTGTTCAGCGATGGGGCGCATTTTTGGCTTAACGGGATTGTTTATAAGCAAAATTGCCGCATATGGAGTAAGACCAATTCACAAGAGACCCTACAGACTCCATTGCATCCAGAAAAATGCACCCTATGGTGCGGTTTTCACGCTGGTGGCATCATCGGACCTTATTTCTTCAAAAATGAGGCCGGAGCTCGCTTTAAGGTCAATGGGGATCGTTACCGCACCATGATCAATGCTTTTTTTGTTTAAAAATATGGATGACATTGATCCGGAGGAGATGTGGTTTCAACAGGATGGCGCTACGTGCCATACTGCGAACGCAACCATCGACTTATTGAAATGAAAATTTGGTGATAAGT